GGCGTGGCTTAGGGCGGGTGTGAGCTTGTTCTGTGTGGTGGGCGTGGCTTAGGGCAGGTGTGGGCGTGTCCAATGGGGTGGGCGTGGCTTAGGGCAGGTGCGGCGTGTTCATTGTGGTGGGCGTGGCTTAAGGCAGAGGTGGGCGTGGCCAATGGGGTGGGCGTGGCTTAGGGCATGTGTGGGTGTGGCTTGGGGCCATTGTGGGCGTGGTCTGGGTGATAGGCATGGCTTATTACTGCGTGGGCGTGGTCTATGCAATGGGCGTGGCTTGTGGCAGATTGTGGGCGTGGTCTGTGTCGTGGGCGTGGCTTCTTGAGGGCGTGGGGTGGGCGTGGCTTGGGGAGGTGGTGGGCGTGTGCCCGTGGGGTGGGCGTGGTCTGGGCCGGGAGGGGGCGTGTCCCCCGCTGGGGGGGCGTGGCCCCGTGCTGACCCCGCCCCCAGTTCCGGTACAAGACCCGGGTGTACAAACAAACCAACCTGGACGAGAAACAACTCGCCAAGCTCCACACCAAGGTGGGTGGGACACGCCCCCTGCCCCCTAGGCCACGCCCCCTCCTCATCCCGGACACGCCCCCAATTCCCTGGACACGCCCACCCAGCGCTCTGGCCACACCCCTTCTTTCCAAAACCTCACCTGTGCTGCCCAGAAGTGGCCACACCCCCCGAACCACCTGAGCCCCTGGACACGCCCCCTTTCCTTGGCCACGCCCCTCTGCTCATTGGCCACGCCCCCATCTGCTCTATTCAATTGCCGCGCCCCCTGTACTTTGGCCACGCCCTTTTTGCATAATCAACTCACTGGCCACGCCCCCTTTGGCCACACACCTCGTGCCGAGGCCACACCCACACTGACCACGCCCATTTGGGCTGTGGCCACGCCCATTGGGTGATGACATAACCCATTTTCTTTGTGGCCACGCCCCTTTCTCCCTGGCCACGCCCCCATCCCGCATGGCCACGCCCCTCCCGGGTGTCCCCAGGTGTCCCCCAGGGACTCCTGCATGTCCCCAGATGTCCCCAACGTCCCCAATTTCTCCAATGTCCCCTCCTGTCCCCAAATGTCCCCAGTGTCCCCAAATGTCCCCAATTCCTCAAATGTCCCCAAATGTCCCCAATGTCCCCTCGAAGTCCCCAAAATCCCCAATGTCCCCAACCCCCCCACTGTCCCCTCCTGTCCCCAATGTCCTGAAATGTGATCCAAATGTCCCCAAATGTCCCCAAATGTCCCCAAATGTCCCCAAATGTCCCCAATGTCCCCAAATGTCCCCAATCCCCCCAATATCCCCAAATGTCCCAAATGTCCCAATCCCCCAATGTTTCCAATGTCCCCAGTGTCCCCTCCTGTCCCTGATGTCCCCAAATGTCCCCAAATGTCCCCAATGTCCCCAATCCCCCCCATGTAACCAATGTCCCCAATGTCCCAAATGCCACAATGTCCCAAACCTCCTCTCCTGTCCCCAATGTCCCCAACCCCACCAAATGTCCCCAAACGTCCCAAATGTCCCAATCCCCCAATGTTCCCACTGTCCCCCGTGTCCCCTCCTGTCCCCGAAGTCCCCAATGTCACCAAATGTCCTCAACCCCCCCAATGTCCCCAAATGTCCCCAATGCCCCCCATTGTCCCCGATGTCCCCAATCCCCCCATTGTCCCCAATGTCCCCAATGCCCCCTGTCCCCGATGTCTCCAATCCCCCCCATGTCCGCAATGTCTCCGATGTCCCAAATGCCACAATGTCCCAAACCTCCCCTCCTGTCCCCGATGTCCCCGATGTCCCCAACGTGTCCCGGTGTCCCCAGACGGGGCTGCGGAAGTTCCTGGACTACGTCCAGCACGGCTCGGCCGAGAAGGTGGCGCGGCTGCTGGAGCGGGGGCTGGACCCCAACTACCACGACTCCGACTCGGGGGGTGAGACCCCAAATCCCCCAAAATCACCCCAAAATCATCTCCCAAAATCACCCCAAAATCATCCCCCAAAATCCCCCCAAAATCACGCCAAAATCCTCCAAAATCACCTCAAAATCATCTCCCAAAATCCCCCCAAAATCATGCCAAAATCTTCCAAAATCACCCCAAAATCATCCCCCAAAATCACCCCAAAATCACCCCAAAATCCTCCAAAATCACCCCAAAATCATCCCCCAAAATCACCCCAAAAATCCTCAAAAATCATCCCAAAAATCACCCCAAAATCATTCCCCAAAATTCCCCCCGTGACCCCAACTACCACGACTCCGACTCGGGGGGTGAGACCCCAAATACCCCAAAATCTCACCAAAATCACCCCAAAATCATCCCCCAAAATCACCCCAAAATCCTCCAAAATCACCCCAAAATCATCCCCCAAAATCACCCCAAAATCCTCCAAAATCACCCCAAAATCATCCCCCAAAATCACCCCAAAAATGACCCTAAAAATCCCCCTGAAAATCCTCCCAAAATCCCCCCCGGAACCCCAACTACCACGACTCAGACTCGGGGGGTGAGACCCCAAATCCCCCCAAAATCTCCCCAAAATCATCTCCCAAAATCATCCCCCAAAATCCTCAAAAATCATCCCAAAAATCATCCCAAAAATCACCCCAAAATCACCCCAAAATCATCCCCCAAAAATCACCCCAAAAATCCCCCAAATCACCACAGAGATCCCAACTACCATGACTTGGACTTGGGGGACAAGACCCAAAATCCCCCAAAATCACCCCAAAATCCTCGAGGACAATTCCCCCCAAATGTCCCCAATGTCCCCAACACGTCCAATGTCCCCAAATTCCCCCAAGATCCCGAGTGTCCCCAATGTCCCCAAATCCTCCCAATGTCCCCAATTTCCCTAAATGCCCCCAATATCACCAATGTCCCCAAATTCTCCCAATGTCCCCAATATCTCCAGTGTCCCCAGTGTCCCCAAAGCCCCAAATGTCCCCAAATTGCCCCAATGTCCCCAAATTCTCCCAACAACCCCGGTGTCCCCAACGTCCCCAAATCCCCCCAATGTCCCCAACGTCCCCAATGTCCCCGATGTCCCCAAAGTGTATCAACGTCCCCAACGCCCCAAATGTCCTCAAATGTCCCCAAAATCCGCAACATCCCAAATCCTCCCAATGTCCCCAATGTCCTCAACACCCCCAATGTCCCAAATGTCCCCAACACCCCCAATGTCCTCAGTGTCCCCAACATCCCCAGTGTCCCCACTGTCCCCAATGTCCCCAAATTGTGCCAATGTCCCCAAATCCCCCCAATGTCCCCAATGTCCCCAACGCCCTAAATTTCCCCAACATCCCCAATGTCCCCAAAACCCCCGATGTCTCCAAAATCCCCAATTTCCCTACATGTCCCCAGTGTCCCCAGTGTCCCCAATGTCCCCAACACCCTGAATGTCCCCAATGTCCCCAGAGATGCTGACACTGGCGGCGCAGCATGAGGGCCTGGCTGAGGTGGAGCCTCAGAGTCCCCAGTGTCCCCAAATGTCCCCAATGTCCCAAATCCCCAAAATGTCCCCAAATGTCCCCAAATCCTCCCAAGGTTCCCAACGTCCCCAATGTCCCCAGTATCCCCAATCCCCCAAATGTCCCCAAATCCTCCCAATGTCCCCAAATCCTCCCAAGGTTCCCAAATGTCCCCGATGTCCAAAATGTCCCCAATGTCCCTGATGTCCCCAACATCCCCAATGTCCCCAGTATCCCCAATCCCCCAAATGTCCCCAAATCCTCCCAACATCCCCTGATTTCCCCGATGTCCCCCAAATGTCCCCAATGTCCCAAACATCCCAAATCCCCCAAATGTCCCCAGTCCCCCAAATGTCCCCAAATCCTCCCAATGTCCCCAAATGTCCCCGATGTCCCTGATGTCCCCGATGTCCCCAATGTCCCAAACATCCCAAATCCCCCCAATGTCCCCAAATCCTCCCAATGTCCCCAATGTCCCCGATGTCCCCAATGTCCCAAATGTCCCCAATGTCCCCAATGTCCCCTCATTCCCAGCTGTCCCCAATGTCCCCGATGTCCCCAATGTCCCTGATGTCCCCAACGTCCCCAATGTCCCCAGTATCCCAAATCCCCCAAATGTCCCCAATGTCCCCAAACCCCCCAATGTTCCCAATGTTCCCAATGTCCCCAATGTCCCCAATGTCCCCGATGTCCCCAATGTCCCCAACGTCCCCAACGTCCCCGCTGTCCCCGCTGTCCCCAGAGACGCCGCTGACGCTGGCGGCGCAGCGCGAGGGCCCGGCCGAGGTGGAGATCATCCGGCTGCTCTGCCTGGGCGGGGCCCACCTGGACTTCCGCGCCCGCGACGGAGCCACAGCGCTGCACCGGGCGGTGTGCACGCGGCGCTACCCCGCCCTGCTGGTACACCTGGGCACACCTGGGCACACCTGGGCACACCTGGGGACAGATAGGGACAGATGGGGACACCTGGGCACACCTGGGGACAGCTGGGACACCTGGGCACAGATAGGGACAGATGGGGACACCTGGGCACACCTGGGCACACCTGGGACACCTGGGCACACCTGGGACAGCTGGGACACCTGGGACACTTGGGGACAGCTGGGGACAGCTGGGCACACCTGGGACACCTGGGGACACCTGGGCACACCTGGGCACACCTGGGGACAGCTGGGACAGCTGGGCACACCTGGGCACACCTGGGGACACACAGGGACACAGGGGTGGCACAGGGAGGGCGCTGCACCGGGCGGTGTGCACGCGGCGCTACCCCGCCCTGCTGGTACACCTGGGCACACCTGGGCACACCTGGGGACAACTGGGACACCTGGGGACACCTGGGGACACCTGGGCACACCTGGGGACACCTGGGGATACCTGGGACATGGCGGTGGCACCCAGTGGGTGCTATGGTGGGTCCATGGGTGCCATGGGGGGGGGGTCTGGGGATGTCACCAGGGGGTCCCACGGGTGTCACTGGGGGGTCCCACGGGTGTCACGCTGTCACCTGCAGGCGCTGCTGGACCTGGGGGGTCCCCAAAAATGGGAGTGACACCCCGTGGGTGCCATGGGTGCCATGGGGGGCTCTGGTGGTGCCATGGGGGGATTCCCATGGTGTCACCGGGGGGTCTGAGGATGTCACCAGGGGGTCCCACAGGTGTTACCGGGGGGTCCCAAGGGTGTCACTGGGGGGTCCCACGGGTGTCACCGGGGGGTCCCAAGGGTGTCACTGGGGGGTCCCACGGGTGTCACGCTGTCACCCACAGGCGCTGCTGGACCTGGGGGTTCCCCAAATAAAGGGGGTGACACCCCCTGGGTGCCATGGGTGCCATGGAGATGTCACCAGGGGGTCCCACGGGTGTCACCGGGGGGTCCCAAGGGTGTCACCGGAGGGGTCCCACGGGTGTCACCAGGGGGTCCCACGGGTGTCACTGGGGGGTCCCAAGGGTGTCACCAGGGGGTCCCACGGGTGTCACGCTGTCACCCACAGGCACTGCTGGACCTGGGGGGGTCCCCGAACTACAAGGACCGGCGGGGCCTGACCCCCCTGTACCACACGGCCATGGTGGGCGGGGACCCGCGGTGCTGCGAGCTGCTGCTCTACAACCGCGCGCACATCGGCACGGCCGACGAGAACGGCTGGCAGGAGATCCACCAGGTGACAGCTGTGTCACCGTGTCACCGTGTCACTGTGTCACTGTGTCACTGTGTCACCCCATCACCATGTCACTGTGTCACCCTGTTATCCCATCCCTGTGTCACCCTGTGTCACCGTGTCACATCGGCACGGCCGACGAGAACGGCTGGCAGGAGATCCACCAGGTGACAGCCGTGTCACTGTGTTACATTGTCACCGTGTCACTGTGTCACCATGTCACTGTGTCACTGTGTCACCCCATCACCATGTCACTGTGTCACCCTGTTATCTCATCCCTGTGTCACCCTGTGTCGCATCGGCATGGCCGACGAGAACGGCTGGCAGGAGATCCACCAGGTGACACCTGTGTCACTGTCACCTGTCACCGTGTCACTGTGTCACCGTGTCACTGTGTCACCCCCTTATCCCATCCCTGTGTCACCCTGTGTCACATCGGCACGGCCAACGAGAACGGCTGGCAGGAGATCCACCAGGTGACAGCCGTGTCACCGTGTCACTGTGTCACTGTGTCACCCCATCACCATGTCACTGTGTCACCCCGTTATCCCATCCCTGTGTCACCCTGTGTCACCGTGTCACATCGGCACGGCTGACGAGAACAGCTGGCAGGAGATCCACCAGGTGACAGCCGTGTCACTGTCACCGTGTCACCGTGTCACCGTGTCACTGTGTCACCCCCTTATCCCATCCCTGTGTCACCCTGTGTCACATCGGCACGGCCAACGAGAATGGCTGGCAGGAGATCCACCAGGTGACACCTGTGTCATTGTCACCGTGTCACTGTGTCAGCGTGTTACTGTGTCACCCCATCACCATGTCACTGTGTCACCCCCTTATCCCATCCCTGTGTCACCGTGTCACATCGGCACGGCCGACGAGAACGGCTGGCAGGAGATCCACCAGGTGACACCTGTGTCATTGTCACCGTGTCACCGTGTCACTGTGTCAATGTGTCACTGTGTCACCCCATCACCATGTCACTGTGTCACCCCCTTATCCCATTCCTGTGTCACCCTGTGTCACCCTGTGTCACCATGTCACATCGGCACAGCCGACGAGAACGGCTGGCAGGAGATCCACCAGGTGACAGCCGTGTCACTGTCACCGTGTCACTGTGTCACCCAATCCTGCTGTCACCCTGTCACCACCTCACCATATCACCGTGTCACCCTGTCCTGCTGTCACCCTGTCACTGCGTCACCGTGCCAGTGGCAGATGTCACCATCACTGTCACTCTGCCACATCACCGTGTCACTGGGTCACCCCATCATCCCTCATCCCTCAAATCCCCTCAAATGTCCCCAAATCCCCCCAATGTCCCCAATGTCCCAAATCTCCTGATATCCTCAATGTCCCCACAATGTCCCAAATCAATCCAATGTCCCCAAATGTCCCCAAATGTCCTCAATGTCCCCAAATCCCTCCAATGTCCCCAATGTCCCCAAAGTCCCCAATCCCCCCAATGTCCCCAATCCCCCCGCTGTCCCCGCTGTCCCCAATGTCCCTGAGGTCCCTAATGTCCCCGATGTCCCCAATGTCCC